AAACATAATTTCTTTAAAGGCCGAAGGCAAATTTGGATTGGAATTAGGATCGTTAACTAGAACAGAAAGATTTTTATGAATGTGAAATGCCTCTAGAAAATCCAGTTCTCCAATGGAAGATGTTTTTTGAATAATTTTGGCAGCAGAAAATAAAGATGATTTAAATAAAGTTCTTTCAACAATGAATTCTATTGATCCTGCTATTCAGTTCACTTTTGAACTTGAGACTTGCAATTCTCTTCCGTTTCTCGACATTCTGGTCACACGTAGCACATACAACTTCAGTACTACGGTTTACCCTAAACCTTCATCGGTTTGCCTTCCACCACACTTTAAATCATGTCATCCGACTAAACAAAAGTTAGCTTCATTTTATTCCTATGTTTTCCGTGCTCTTCAAGTTTGCTCCTCCAAACTAGCCCTTGATGAAGAACTAAATTATTTAAAAGCAATAGCTATTGGCAGGGGGCTTTTCACCCAACATTATTAATCAAGCAGTTAAAAAATTCTCATCTCAACACACTAAAAGGCACACTCTTGTTTAGGAGATTATAAAAATTCTGTTGTCATTCCCTTCTTTCCATCAATTAGCTATAAAGTTGCACATATTTTGCAGAAATTTAACTTTCGGGTTGTTTATTCTCCCATCAATAAAATTCCGAGTTCCATACTCAAGGACCCCCCATTCCGGATATGAATTCCTGGGGTATTTATAGGATTCCTTGCCAGTGTGGTCTAATTTACATTGGCCAAACTAAGGAGAGCCTTAAAATTTCGCGTCAAGGAACATGAGGCATATGTTAGAAAAAAGGAAACACAGAAGTCTTCTGTTGCTCAACATTGTTGGTCCGAAAACCACACTTTCAGTTTTTTTTTTCTGCTGCCAAAATTATTCAAAAAACATCTTCCATTGGAGAACTGGATTTTCTAGAGGCATTTCACATTCATAAAATCTTTCTGTTCTAGTTAACGATCCTAATTCCAATCCAAATTTGCCTTCGGCCTTTAAAGAAATTATGTTTTTAGTTCTGGTTTCACAAACAGATGGCGCCACTAGCTTATTCTTGTCCAGGCTTTCTTATCTTATCTAATCATTATTTCCTATCTTGTTCATTTGCGGTTTTGCAGCTGAAAATGTGGTTCGGAAAACCATCGAAACTGTCCTGTGAAAATTTTGAAATATACCCTTTTTTTTTTTTTTGTATTATAAATTTTGTTTTTTCCACAGCATATATTTCAATTTTTTATACTGTATACTACTACAACACTCATCTGTGTTATGAACTAAAATGTTTATGATATTTCTAAAATTTACTAAAATATGTGTAATTACATGAAAAAAACACAGTTTTTTGTAAAATATTTCTTATCGTTTTATATAGAAATACTTATAAAACAATCAAATTAATAAATATAACTTAGATTGTAGCTTAAAACCTAGTAAATAATATAGAAAACACTTTAGTGAAATTTAATAGAGATACCTTTAGAACATTTTGAGTAATTACATTTCTTGTATGTAAAAACACTAGAAAAATTAGTTTTCCAGAAAACGCATTTAAAGATTTCACATTAACAGAAAAACTGTTCTGTTGTATTTACACACTTAAAATTCTCCACATTTGTACATCACACCCTCCATATCTTTATACTTAAGTAATTTTGATTTCCTATTTGATTTTAATTTTTTTCTGGCTATTTTCGAAATGAGCGACGAATGACGTTTCGAGTTCTTTATTCTTTCGTTATCAATTCCAAAGTAATTTTTAATCATTTCTTGTTCAATTGATATGCCTAAATGTTCAAACACAGGAAGTAATCCAAGATACCCTGAATTAAAAATTAAAACTGCTATATATGCACCCAGCAACATAGTCTTTATACCTAATCGCAATGTTGCCAGACCCAGTTCAAAAAAACCGCAATGTTGCCAGTCCCAGTTCAAAAATTAAGGCAAATAATTATTGCCAGAAACAAAAAAAAAGTACCCAGAATTAAAATGAAATGTTTTAGCACAATTTTTTTACACACAAACAGGTTAAAAAAAAAAACACGGATAACAACATTGTTTACCTTTAAGTTGAGCCTTTTAAATGGCACTTCCGGTCTTTCTGCTTTCACTTCCAGTGCAGTTAATTGGCTATATCTTCTCTTCTAATTATCACAAACGTAAAAATGAACCATTTTCGGAATCCTACAAAACTGACCTTTCAAATTGGGCAATTAAAAAAAATCGAATTTTTTTCGCCGAAATCGTTTTTTTAACGTAGGCAGATACCCTTACAATTTATTCGTTCAATTAAACAAAAAAGCACAAATTTACATCATTTAAGAATTCTAATCTTGCGCATGCTCTTTAAATATTAATAACAAACGATGTAAAAAATAAGCAAACAAGCAAAAAAAAAGAAGAAAGAAACATTGTCACAGACGATTCAGTATTTCTCATTCAATTAATTCAGTTCTCACTTCACGACAAGGCAAAAATACATAGAAACTCAAAATATCTGTATTAAAACTTACGAAGTAAATCTTAAACACTTATTTCCTCGAAAAAAATCCATAAAGGATAAGCATGATTTAATTCGCAATAATAAATGAAGGTGTTATCTTTGTTGTAGCGAAGCTTAGTCTCTCTAGATTGGCAACAAATCTAGTATTCTGCTGTTTCAAATGTAAACAAATATGCCGCCATGTTATTTAAAACTTAAGGCTTAACCGCACTTAATTAAATTGTTGATAATTGTACAAATATTGCTTGCTGATTTACTAAAAGCATAAAAACCTTAACCTGCAGATAAGAACAACATAATTCAACCAGTTTTAAAGCAAAAAATGCACAATTTACAAACATATAAGAGTAAAGAAACTGAGATCACTGAGCCGGGTAACAGAATGGATATATATATAAATATATTTATATACGTTTGGTGCGGCCGATTGCAACCAAAATACGAGGTGCACATCTACATGTTATAGCATTCCTATACATAATTTCAACGTTCTGACGCTACTCCTTTTTGAGTTATGCGAGATACGTACGTACATGCGTTCGTACAGACGCCACGAAAAATTCTCTTCAGAATTCATTTTAAAGCAGTTTTATAATTTTTTTTTTGGGGGGGATAAGAGTTTTTTATTTTGTCTTTACGTACAGATGTCACGCAAAAACACCGTTAAATTGCATTCGAAAGCGGTCAAAATGGATATTTTCGTTAAAATATGCTGCCTGAAACTTTTCGCAATTACAATACTTCCTTTTTACTTCGTACAAGGAAGTAAAAATTGCATTCGATAGCGATCAAAATGGATATTTTCGTTGAAATATGTTGCCTGAAACTTTTCGCGATTACAATACTTCATTTTTACTTCGTACAAGGAAGTAAACAAAACATCATTCTTATAGAAAAAAGATGAAAATTTTTTAAAGTCTTAGTTTCAGTTTCGTTCAATACATATTATTTGAAAATAGTTAGATTAGCAATTACTTTATATGATGCTTCGTCAATCAAAGAACTCGACGATGATAGTTTGTCATATTTTTAACATTTTATCTGCCCAGAACTGACTATCCTGTGAAGTTTTCTTTAGGCATTCGTCAAAAACACCATTGTATATGTTTCGGCTATTGATTTTGCCACAAAACCTCGGGCTGCGTAGACGGTGTAGTGGTTAGGGAAGCCTACTGCGGTACCGAAGCAGAAGGCGTGGATGTTTGTAAATGTATAGTGTGCGTGTAGCATGGGGGCACTCTAAATATGCGGCGAGCTGAAAGTCCTCTCGAGAGGTTGATGGTTGGGGAAGAGGGGGTGGGGGCCTTGGACCCGTCCCCCACCGCATCAAAATTGGGGAAGGAACTGAGCGAAGTCGTACTCGCGCAATCTTGCACTCATTGCGACGAGGAATTTCGTGGGCTTGTTCTGATGCTACTGTCAGACAAGTGAGAGAAGTCGCAACACAGCAACAGCAACAAAACCTCGATAGTTAACTACTGCAACAGTGTACCTCATTACTTAGAATGAGCGCTGCATAAATTTGACATTCGTACACGTATCAACATATAGAAATTCAATAAAATAATTGTATAGCAAAGTTTCATCTTTTTTAATGAGATGACATATAATACATTTTTGTTTTGTAAAATATAACAATTCTGCAAGCAAGTAAAATATGTTTCTTAATGGCGGACCAATTTTTATCATAATTTTTAATACATACATAATTATAAGTTGCAAAAAAATAAGTTTAAATTTCAGTCGTAAATAATAACACACTGAGTTGGAGAAAACATTGATTTTATTTTTCACAGAAATCACTATTCTAATATTTTTGTAATAAAATAATTTTAAGATACCATAGTATAGTCTTTTGCTACATTTTTAAAAACTTTCATAGGGAATAAGTATATTATTTTGCCTCAGCTATAATATTTATTTTTCTAAATTCATGGAGCAATTTGTATAGCTTTCAAAATATCTTTTCTCAATTTATGCATTAAAAATACTTCAAAAATTTTTATTAAAATTGGCACTTTTTTTGTTGAATGAGAAACAGAAAAATTAATTTTAAGTTTCTGATTCGCAATCTTGAACAGAGCTTTAGCTGAAAACAGCATAAAAGAAATTTTTAACTTTAAATGATGAATGATATTTCTATCAGGAACATAACTGAAGACTTGATAGTTTTAGAGCAATATTTATTTTCTATTCTGAGCGTAAAAATTGATTCACATAACAAGTTACAGCAATTGCATTATGCTATAATTTCCTGCTTCCTGAAATGCAACAGTAAAATTCGAAACTGTGAATAGATTTTAACCTCAACCTCCATCAATCATGCGATAAAAAATTCGTTTATGCAAAGATTATGAGCTATTTTTTATCCTGATGTTGTTTCCCACAGAAACGAGAACTTAGTAATGCCGACATTTTTTGCCACACTCCTACAGAGATTCAACCGGTTTTTAAAAGGACCTATAAGAAGGGGAAGGGAATAATGATATGTCAGCTCTACAAAAGGTAAATCTTCAAAACTGAAGTTTAAAAGTACTATCCATTGTTTCTTTTGATAGTCTTTGAAAACAATCCATTTGCACTTAAAATCCCAATTTAACTTTCAAATGTTCATTTATTTTGTCTTGCCTGAAAAGTCAGCCTTTTTCCTATTTCTTTAAAGGTCCTTTATTTATATAAAGAACAATGATCAGTCAATAGTATATTGTCCGTTGTGTTTGACAACTTTTAACTTTCTTTTAATGAACTTCGGAATTCCTCATTCGCGGAATAACCTAGTTTTATCGGCCAAAAGCTGAGCAAGGGATTGCTATACGACTTCATCGGAATTGAATTTTATACCACGAAAGAAATATGAAGATAACGGTTACAATGAAACGATAACAATGAAAGTCTGAAGGCATAAGATCAGGTTAGTATGATACGCGTGGTAACACTTTTCATCCAAAATTTAATAATTTTTGTCAGTGATCAAACTTGTGTACGGTCTTGTTTTCAAGCTCCTACCAGCTGGGCAGTTGGAACTAATCCATCTTCCAGAAACTTCTATAGCTCATTAATCGTGTCGTAACTGCATTCCATCTCGATAACACGAGACAACACACAAGTTTGATCACCTGACAAATTTATTGGAGTTTGGATTAAAAGTGTTGCCACGTGAATCATCCTCGCTTAATCTTGTGTCCTCAGACTTTCACTTGTTTCGGTCTCTTTACAACTTCTTTCGTGATATAGCATTCAATTCAAATGAGCCATAAGAGCACTTTTTTCAGCTTTTCGCTGATAAAGCTAGTTTCTTTTGGGAACGAGAAATTATGAAGCTTATTAAAAGAAAGCAAAAAGTAATCCAACACAACGGCAATATACTACTGATCGATCATTGTTCTTTATGTAAATAAAGGACCTCTGAAGAACATGAAAATTCATCATAACTTTTCAGACAACCCAATGTTATTCATGCTTCAAAATGTTTACATATTTATATTTAAGCAAAACTTGCTTATTTTTTCTATAGATTAAAGAAGAAAGTTTGTCAAAAAACGTAACAAGTAATTTACAATTGTATACCTTAACTAGAAAAGAGAAACGTATATATTTATGAATGTAAGTAAGCCTTAACGATGCTTACCAAAAAACAGCCAACACAGAAAGTACATATTCGTCTTCGGAATACAAAGTGGTAATTTTACTGCGCTTTTTCCAAAGGATTCGCCAGAGAAATCTTCTGCAATTATGCGCTATCTTCTACTACTGCGTGTAATAGATTCAGTATCTGTGGCTTGAAAGCATTACATTCCTTGCTGCCATTTACTAAATGGCAGCAAGGTTGCCGCAGTTGACTTTCAGTCAACTGCGGCAACAACTGCTCAACGCTGCTGCTGTACTGCTAAAAAAAACAGCTTAGCTTATATTCTCTTAAGCTCGTTGCATGCGCATTCTCTCTATATCCAAACTTTGCATACGGCAGTCGACAATGAGTCGTTTCGAATACACCAGAGACCTTCGCTACCTGGAAAATGCAAACTTGATAACAGAAGCAGCCACGACTAATTCAAACCGATTCACTTCGGCAAAACATTTTCGTTCCTTGAACTCTCTTGAGTAATATTGTATTCTCTTGAATAATATTGTAGAGAAAACATCTGCTAGATTCTCTAATACAATGAACAACTATGGCTGAATTAAATGAACCTATTTATAGATTGAAACGACAAAGGGTCTAAATGTCAGCCGTAGGTCTTCCGTAGACAATAAACTCTTTTTAATTAGTTTTGTTCCCCCTCTTCATGTTTATATTAGTTGATTAACCACGACAGGCTATGACTGGAAAAGAGACAACACTTTTCTAAAATGTTTTAAAATTAAAAAAAAAAACTGTTAAATTATATAAACGCCAACTGAACCGGTGGTAAAAGGCAAGAATGGCACCCATAGCTGCTCAGGGCTGGATACACTTTGGCAAGATTAAGTAGTACAGTGACAGATAATCAATGAAGTAGTGCATCAGTCTCAGTCTAAAATGTAAGAAAAAAATGTAAAACCTTCCCCCAAAAATGGCAGAATGAAAAGGTGCAGCATACATGTTGTAGAAGCAAAACAAAATGTTTATAGCAGAGATAAACGATACAAGTAATAAAAATATACATATTAAGAAAATATTAATCTTTTGAGAAAATCTTAATATTTGAATCTAAGCGCAATGAAGTGCGACTATATTTCATACTGTGCTGACAAAAAACGATCTGCCCTTCCTCAATATGACAATATGATATCAGATGATATGTTGAATAAAATAGCATCTGCTAACCACTTAACCATTACTTATTATGGTTCACTGAAAAACAGTTTTTAACCAATTATATTTTTAGTGGCCGCTCAGCAGACTTTGGCTTGTCCACTACTAAGGCCAGAAGTGGTATTCCCTTTATTATGGAGGCACCTAATGGGTGGACCACCTTTACCTCCTATGAAGAGACGGACAGTTACAATCATGCCTTCTCCGGGATTCGAACCCTAACCACTATGCCAACTGGCAATCTAGGAAATGAACGGGCTGATTGGTTGGCAAAACAAGCTACACATCTTCAAAGTAATTACTCCAATGATACTTCCTAAGTCATTTTACAAGAACAAAAGTAGGGATGATACAATACTCGAGTGGAATGAACTATACAGGAATTCTACTACTGCCTCTTTGACTAAACTATATTTTCCTTCCATTCCTCACAGACTGAATAATAAACACTTTTTCTGCAATTTTGAAGTTACTCAATTTCTAACTGGACATGGTAAATTCAATTCATATCTGAAGAGATTTATATTATCTAGTACAGACTTGTGTTCATGCAGTTTCGGGGGAGTGCAAAATGTCGAACATTTGTTGTTCTATTGTTCAAAGCTGAAGGAAGGACGAAAGGAACTCATTTCTAAGTTAAACTCTGTGAATATTACATTTCCTCCCCCTCTTCATGTTTTTGTTCAACATAAAATGGCTTTCTCTTTTTTCTGTAAATTTATCTCTTACGTATCATCTGTGAATTTGTAAGTTTATTTTATTTTGTGTTGTGTTGTTGTATTTGTTTGTTTTTTTTTACTTACCTCTGTAAGCCTTGTGTAATACTATGTGGTGCACAAGGATTTAAAATTTTCAATGAAAAAAAAAAAAAAAAACCACTATGCCATCAGCGGCCCGTTTAAGAAATAAAAATTAGTAAACTACCACAACCAAAGTAAAAAATGACGCTTTATCATCAAATCTGAGTCTTGTCATTAATTAAAAGAAACGTAACGTTGAAAAAAGGTTATACCAATAATGCTTTCTGTGCTTCCTTCGGACAGTCGACTGTAGGATCAAGGCACTGGCTGGAATTTTTACTTGCGGCTGCTTCTTTCAAACACTCGTCCTTACGGGCTTGACTGAAAGTCAACTGCGGCAACAACTGCTCAACGCTGCTGCTGTACTGCTAAAAAAAACAGCTTAGCTTATATTCTCTTAAGCTCGTTGCATGCGCATTTCTCTATATCCAAACTTTGCATACGGCAGTCGACAATGAGTCGTTCGAATAACACAGAGACCTTCGCTACCTGGAAAATGCAAACTTGATAACAGAAGCAGCCACGACTAATTCAAACCGATTCACTTCGGCAAAACATTTTCGTTCCTTGAACTCTCTTGAGTAATATTGTATTCTCTTGAATAATATTGTAGAGAAAACATCTGCTAGATCTCTAATACAATGAACAACTATGGCTGAATTAAATGAACCTATTTATAGATTGAAACGACAAAGGGTCTAAATGTCAGCCGTAGGTCTTCCGTAGACAATAAACTCTTTTTAATTAGTTTTCTCAGAAAATGCACAGAATCAAAAGATGGCCATTTATAGATATTCCACCTGAAAAAACTCCTCTCGAAGTCACTTTCATAGCTCTTTCGCAAACGATGATGAAACATACTTCATCTTGTACACTTCATTTTATAGCCATAAAAAGAAGAATATCTCCTCTTACTGCAAGAACACTACATATGTGTAGAGTGTTTGCCAGAAAATCCGCTTTTTTATTCTACTCACTCTCTCATACATAGTATAACGTCTGAGATAAGCACAAGAGCACATGAAGTGGAAAAAAGATTGCGCTGAGTACTCTTCACAGATATGTCCAGGTACTCTATACAGAGCATGACTCCTGTAATGTTATGATTTCGAGAGAATAAGGAACACTATACAGCCAGTCTAATATAATTGAACAGGACAACTTATTAAGGAGACAGTACCCTCGTTTGAGCTGGAATAAGTATAAGAGCTCTCACTGGCCTGCATAATTTTCCTGAGGGATCTGTGAAACCTCAAAAGTCCAAAAGCGATATTCTGGATCCTTATGTAAGGCTGTATACCGCCACAATTAGTGATTCCTTTATTTTAATACACGATAACGTTGATCCTCACAGAGTACATGTAGTCAAACATTACCTGAACAAGGAAGGTGTTCGGTGAACGGATTGGCAGCTCGACCACAGGATTTTAAGCCATCTCGACCACTAGATCGAGCCACTTATTTTAAGCCATCTCGACCACTAGATCGAGCCACTTATTTTAAGCCATCTCGACCACTAGATCGAGCCACTTATTTTAAGCCATCTCGACCACTAGATCGAGCCACTTATTTCAAGCCATCTCGACCACTAGATCCAGCCACTTATTTTAAGCCATCTCGACCACTAGATCGAGCCACTTATTTTAAGCCATCTCGACCACTAGATCGAGCCACTTATTTTAAGCCATCTCGACCACTAGATCGAGCCACTTATTTTAAGCCATCTCGACCACTAGATCGAGCCACTTATTTTAAGCCATCTCGACCACTAGATCGAGCCACTTATTTTAAGCCATCTCGACTACTAGATCGAGCCACTGATCTTAAGCCATATCAACCACTAGAATGATCACCTTGCTTTGTAGAGACATTAGGTATGTTTTAGAAGCAGGCAAGATGAAAAATTAGCAACCGCCTTCCCCGGAAATCGAATCACCGACCTCTGGATACCGGCCCAGCGTGCAGAACCACTACACCACGAAGACACGCTAGGAAAGTGGGAGAAATACCTTATAGCTTTTCTCCCCTGTCACCGCTCCAATGTTCTTAAATGAGATACAGCAACACATAGGTTATAACATTCGAGATCTTTGTTCCCGACTGAGATATCTGATAATTTAATCGAATTGATAATTTAAGCGAATTAAGATACCAAATCTTAATTCGCGCCTGTATTAAAATTGTTCTAATGTATTTGAACAAAAAAAAAATGTTGCTTGCATATATGAGTAACAATGTGTCTTCTGATAATCCCATATAACATTTCTTCCAAGAGTGCAAGATGCATAACTTCTGTATTATGCAATAAATCAGTGCACGATCTTATTTGTTCCAATTCTGTTGTTTCTGTTTTATTTGCTTTAAAATTTCTGCTGTCAAATCTAATAGCTCCTCAACTGTCGATAACAGACTATAAGAAAATTTCTCAAATGAGAATCTAGAATCTATCTTGGAAGAAATGCACTTTTCAGATATTTATCATCCATTTCGCATTAGTTTGACTGCCGATTTTTTAAATTAATAATTTTGCAGCTGTATGAATAAATGCAGCAAATGTTCCTGCATAACAGGTATTATTGCTATCAATGAATGAAACATTCTTCAGGCAGGTAAATAACATTTGTTAGCAATAATAATTCGTGAAAGTATTTTAAAATGGGGTACTTTCATTAAATTACTTAATTATGACAATGTGCGAGAGGCTATCGGATTTTGAAAAAGAGTTGCTTCGGAAAAGACCTTTCTGAAAAAACTGTCTCGTACTATTTTAAGTGGAAGGAAATCCTCGTGCTGTTCAACCGTCGAGAATGGTTACAGGCGAAAACATCGCGACAAAAACATCGCTGACGAAAACGTCGCGGAGAAAATAACACAAGGAGGAAACGTCATAGTACAAAACATTGCGGGAGAAAACATAGAAGTTCTAAGATATCATTGTGGAAAATAAAGTGGTTCAAAAATTTCGCAGTTTTTTACATCGTCGTCGAAAATATCGTGGCAAAAAATAAAGTACTTACAAATCATCGCATGACGATAACATCGCATGCCTGCGTTTTTCAAATCGTATAATGACATATTATGTAATTGACTTTCGTTATAACTAACAAATCGACATCAAAAAATTGATTTCACGCTATGCATGAAAATGTTAACGACACTTTACGAATAAACGGAAACAAAACAATATGTAATTTTCGTTAAAGCAATATCAGATGAACAAAAGTGAAAAAAAAATTTTTTTTTTTTCATTAACTAAGCAATTTTTATAGAGGTAACCTCATGCAGTTACTTAGCTTTCTTTTTCCTAAGCTTTTTTAGACTGTATTTTTCATGAAAAATTATCGGTTTATTAAAAAAGCTTAGTTATTAATGACCTTTGTTAATCAACTATATAAATTTAAAATTCTAATAAACTTTGTAAGTTGCATTAATTTCCTACTCAATTTTAAATGCTTAAGTTTCCTTCTTATTTTTTTAGCAAAAATTGATAAGTTCGTTCAAATATATGAAATATAGAAGTAAAAGAATCCCTCTTTCCTTATTGAGCTCTATGATTCTTTAATACGAGCATGCCTTTACAACTTTCAAAACCTGAAAATGCATGTATGCGATATTATCGTAATGCGATGATTTGTAGGTACTTTATTTTTTTACCACGCTATTTTTGAAGATGTTTTTAAGCTGCGAGGCTTTTGAACCGTTTTATTTTCTACCATGATATTTTGTACCACGATATTTTAGAACTACAATGTTTTCCCTTTGCGATGTTTTCTCCCACTATGTTTTGTACCGCGACGCTTTCTCCTTGCGTTGTTTTCTCTGCGACGTTTTCGTCCGCGATGTTTTTGCCGCGACGTTTTCGGCGGACACCGTCGAGAATAGAATTCATGGTAAAACACAATGAGTCAATATGTTTCTTAGCAACATTTTGATGTTTCATAACGGAGATAATGAAATACGTGCCATTTGAAGAAATGTTTTTAATTAATGGTTTCACTGTTTATTATCATTGTTAAAGTTATTCGTATTTCTCATATCGGAAGAAATGAAATCATGTTCGCAGGATATCCTGCTGTGTTTATATAAAATGCTACATGTTGCTAAATAGTGAGTTTTTAAAATATGACTCATTATTAATTAATCAGTTAGATTTAGCTGCTTGATATGTTTATTTCCATGCTTGAAAAGGATTCTAGGTTCTAAATTCTTCATTCCCATGACTGCACGAAAGATCAAAATGTAATTCATAGGTCTGTAATTTGCAATCTTGTAAACTCACGAATGATTCAGAAATGTAAACGAACGGCTAGATAGACTGTTTCTCCTTTACTAGTCAAACAATTTCTATAATTATTTTTTATACTTGCATAGTTTTAGTATTGCTTCGGCAACGAAAAAAGAATTTCGACTATATTCACTGCCAGTTTCTTTAAGAAAAGACAGACGCTTTAACCAATGATAGAAAATTAACTCAAAGAATTTGAAGTAATTTTAATCTGATTTATCGCTAAAAATATATCAGCGTCTATAAATAAGTTATTTTATCGTAAATATAATATATGTGAAAAAAATAATTACGGAACAGAGTAACTACATGCTTTGCATTTAGTGTTTAGAATGCTATATAGAAATATAATGTTTCTAGTTATCCTTTACCAACTTAATAACAACTGTGGTTGATTGAAAGATGGTTTTAATAATATAATCGATTTTGAGATTTGACATTATTCCTTGATATTTTTTATTGTTAAATCGATTTTTGCACTTGCTGAATTAAATTGAGATTCATATTTTTAGTTGAAACTTTCACCTTTTTATTTAATCAAAATCAGAATTTCTTCGTTTCTTCAAGCATCGGTCTATACATTCATTATTAAATATTCTAAATTGTTAGACATAATTCTTTTCTTTAATCTAATATTCTTTAACTGAGATTCCTATTTTTTATCTGAAACTCATTTTTCACCTTCCATTGTCAGAATTGGAATTTGATCGACTCTTTGATTATCGGTCTATATATTCATTAGAAAGTTCTTGTCAATTTGCTTGCGATGCTTATTGTTTGGTGATATTTGCAATTTTTTAAATTTAAGTGTTTGTTTTTCTTCAGTCTAAGACACTAAACTTTTTGTTATTTGTCATTTTTATTTTTCTTTCTTACCTATTTCTCCTTTCCACTACTTTTGATTTCTAAAGTTTGTGCTTGATTCTTGTGTTATTAAAACGTCACTAATTGCGTACAATATTTTCAAGTTTGAGATATGAGTAGTTTTTTTCATCAACTTTTAGTTTTATAACCTAGCTATGCGATTAACTGCTGTAAAGAAAAGATATATACGCTCCAGGTCGAAAAAATTATTATAATAATAACAATAAACAATTAATGAATTTCATACTGTACATATCTATCCATACTTCTAACCACCAGAGTCATGTCCCTCTTTCACGATGGTTGGTCTAAAGTGGAATAAAATTTATGCGTTTTCTCGATCTGAAACTGATAATTAGTCCAATTACCCCAACAAACGTACAGCGAATTATTGCTATGTCTGGAGTAACTACAAAGAACTTTTAAACTACCTTTTTATTTACACAGAATTTCGAAGACAAATGCACTTTCTTGTGCTAACAATATCTGCCACAACTCGTGGTGATGCAACTAAGCAGAACAGTCAAATGCAAGTTAAACGTGAAACAGTAATAAAAGACTACACAGTTAAATTTTACTCTACACTGGCTCAATAATTCTAACCGAAGTGTCAAAATCAAGGTGTCTGCAATAATATAATGCAAAGCCGAATAATTACAACTATCAGAGCTGGTTGGTTGGTTGGTCGGTGTCATGTCCTTTGAGAAGTCAAATGGACCGTGGGATTTGACCGTGGCGCCCATCCATGGAAATCACTGCTTTTGCCAGTTCCACTATCTTCTCACTATATGGCTTTCTCTAGAAAGGAAACTCCCCCACTTTGCAGAGCTGCAAAAGTATTACCGAATAGCTAAAGATGTGTTCTGGAGAAAGCTCCCTTTTGGGGCAGTTTCTACAAGTTCTATATGATTTGGTACCATCGTCATTAATTTTCATGCCTCTAAAATGGCGGGTTCTCAATCTAGTAATGATCATTGTGGTTTCCCTGCTTGCATCAATCTCACATATCTGATGGTCTTTTTTAACAGATTTCTCTTTCAGTCTATATCTGGCAATGGTATTAGCATCTTCAAGAGTGACGGGGATTGAATTTTTTATAGAACTATCAGAGTTGGTAGAAACTAAAAGTAAAATCCGAAAACCTCAGTTCAACTCTTGGCTATCTCATTTACATTCTGGTGAGGAAAACGGAGAAGTTTTAATAAAGATCAAAATCATAATAACTAGCTAATTTAAATAATAACCTTACATATTATACACAATAATTTGACTTATATACAAAGCGAATGTATTTAATCCATTCTGATAATATAGGCATTACTTATTCTTCTTGTAAAATGCTGACAGCATGAAAATGTGGAGAATGTATTAAAGTGGAATGAGAATATTTTTCGTTAACATGGGATTTCTAGCAGAGTGCGAAACATCGTTTTCCATGAGACCACGCTGCAGTGGTTAGAAGACAAAATGCAAAATAGTTGCGAAATAATTAAGAGATAGCTTTACATCAGAATGAAGTTAATTATGTTATATCTAATTAAGAAGTTTATAGAGACACGAGGTATTTTTTGCAAGCAGGAAAGATGAAAAATGAGCAACTCACTCGCCGGGAAGCGAACCACGGACCTCTGGAATACGCGCCCAGCGTGCAAACCACTACACTACAAAGGCATGCTAAGAAAGCGGGAGAAATACCTTAT